GAAGAGCTATTTAAGTTGATTCAGCTCTTTCTTGAAAAAATGAGGTTTTACTGGCCATGAGTTAATTTAGAATGGAAATAAGAAAATAAGTGAGATTCTGAAGGAGTCTACTAATAGGAAGAGTGGAAACAAAAATCTGAAGAGGTTTCAAAGTAAACCGTGCTTGTCTTTATGAAAGCATTTACAGACAAGATTGCATGCAAGAACAGAGGCCTGGATTCAGTGAGCTAAAGGACTGTCCCTTTCAATTTTCTGTTCCTATGATACCATTATATATTTTCTTTCATAGTCTGACCACTCTATTAATGCTACATTTAGGGAGATCAATGAATAAGATTTTTTCTAATCCTTCCTGGTCAGAATGTGACTACATGCCTTGTTTGAGGACAGTTCTTCCTCTCTGCTTACCAGTTTTTATCCCCGTTTCCTCAGGGAATTCCCTGTGGTGTTCATCATTTGCTACTCTGAGTACTTCACAACATTAGTAAGCTCATCTTTGCAGAAGCTTAGTGGGACTTGGAAGCATCTGTACTTTATGTTCCATTTGTTGTGATGGTTGTGATGACCTGATTTACTGCAAAGATCAATCGTATTAGCTCAGGCATCTATTTTTAATTCAGAAAAAAAGAAAGCCTGGCTGAGACTGACATAATATTAGCAATTAGGAAAATTTCAGTAGCGGTTGTTGTGCATGATTTCCTTTTCATTTTGAAAAATAGATGTTTTACTGATGTTACATTTAATTGTACACACTTCACCAAGGTCTCATTCTACCTGCCTTTAATATGACAAGAGGTTTTCATGCAAAGCCCCTCGGTTTATGAAGCAAGGCTATGCGAGAGGTGTCCTTTAATTCCAGCCTTCTGTTCGGTGGCAGCATGCTATCAATTCCGTCAGTTATTAATTCTGTAGACTACTCTGCTTCACTGGTCAGAGTTTTCCCATTTGATATCTGTCCTTTCACATTTTTCACACCCAATTTGGGAGTAACATCACAGAAAGCAGAGTCATTACGTACAATGCTGTTATAATGATTACAGTCATTCTCATGGAAATGCACACTGAGGACAAGAATAGGGTAGGCCTGCAATGAAACTGGTAAGGTTTCTCATTCTTATCGTGAAACGACTGTCAAGAGGATGGATTAATTTACTGTCATCATCTGTTATACAGCAAGTGTTAGGACAACAAGTCATCATTATATTTTAATATCAAGCATATCCCCATTTCTCAGTCATTATTTCTTTTCTCTAAAAAAATGTCATTTGGAGACTGGAAATCTGTATAAAATTAATCCGTATTAGCCATACTCAGAAGGTTTTTATAGGAGCATGGCAAAACACAGGTCCTGGAAAGATGAGGTTGTGGTAGAAATGAGAAATGATCCTTTTATAGATGTTAAGTATTTTCTGTGGTTCTGGGATTATTAAGCTGGTTCGCTGCTGTTGCACTTGGGGTAAGTCTTCAATGTTTCAGGGTTTGCTTTCCTGAACAAACAACTCCAAAAACAGTTTTGTATTAAAAAAGGTATCTTTAAAGAATTTAAAACCACAGTGACTTCTTCTTCTAAAATGACGAATTATTTGGGGAGGGTTTCTTGAAAACTTCCCAATGATCAATAGTATCTAACAATGTTAGTTCTGACAGACTGCTCATCTGTGGGTGCAAGTATGCGTGTGTGGGCGTGCAATGGAGAAACTGTGGAAATTTGATTAAGCGGGAACAAATATCCTTGTCTCAAATAAGCAGCTTGAATCCACAGAACTGAGCTTTCACTTACGTGAGACTTCTTGTCTTTTGCATCTCTCTGGTGAGAACTATTCTAATGAAACCATAGGTGTGAACACTGAAAGGGGCAGGGCTAGTGAATGCACCATGGCCTGGTGAGGAGTTGGGTACCGACTGCACCAGCTCAGAGGAGTGAGGAAATCTAGAAAAACTTGTGCTGTAGGGCTGCGACCTTTAACATTTCTCAGTTGCCATGGCTGATATAGTTTGCATTTCTCTCACATTTTCTGCATGCTTCCAGGTTAGATAATTCATGTGTTAGGATATGGAAAGCAAATAACAAATAAAGAATTTTAGGAAAGAAGAGAAACAGAGGACATGTTTCAGTCCATAACGTTCTTCATTTTGAACCTTCACACCTCTTTGTCTCCAGAAGGTCATCTTCTTCTCATATTTCTTAAAAGTGAGTTGCACTGGAACATAACTACACATTCACTGTCCTTTTTACTTTGGAGAGAGAAGTAAAGTGGTAAAGGGAAGACCAGTGTTGGTTTGAGGCTGAATGGGTCATGCTAGTAGAAGGAATAGCAGAGGAATATAATGAACAAGAACGACACTTGATTTCTTTGTGGACCCTTTGGATCTCTGAAATACCAAACGTATACCTCTTAATCCACTTTGGATGTCCTCTGAAGGGTAAATAAGAATGGCTTTTTTTTTAGTTCATACATTTTTACCTGTAATTCAAAAATACTGTCAGATTTGTGTTGATGGGGGAGATAAGGAAGTATGGAACAGTTGGAAATGAGTGTGAATACAGGAAAGGGAAGAGGAAAGTAACAGCTTTTAAAAAGTCCTGAAATGATGGTACTGAAAGTTAGATTAGGAAAGAAATTCCAGGTGTTATATTGGATTTTCAAGGTAGTGATTCTATTAATTTGTTATTTTACTCTTGAAAACAGAAATACAGCATAACAGACTTGTCATTCAAAATTCTTTTTCAAAGTAATACAGTGACATGTCATTGCAATAAATTAGTTCTAATACAGGAGAGTGAATCTAATCTTCCCTGATCATATCAAGACAATTTCACATCTCAGATTTAATGGCAGTAAGGGGAAAATATGTATACTTTAGAATGAGTGATAAGGAAGAAACAAAAATGGAGTTTTACAATTAAAATGCTTTTACTCAATGTTAGAGGTTTACATAAAATAAAGCATATCACGTTTCAGCATTTTAAACATAAGCAAACAGTTCCAAAATTTATTCTGATAAAAAAGTGTTTTTTCTGTTACGATA